GTTCCCCTGGGCGCGGCCCCCCACCCCTCCCATCCCTCCCCCCTGCGTGGATCTGTAGGCGAGGGAAGTCACGGGGGCCCCCCCCCATCACGACGGAGGCGCGTTCTGATTCTGATATATGGAGGCTTTGTCTTTCAAGAGGTCCAGACACAGGTGACAACTCCAGCTCCCTGAAAACAGAAAACGGGGGAAATTCAGGAGCCTTGTTTCAATTCAACGGCGCTCAGGAGGAAAAGAGAACCAGGACGCACTGCGTGACAGATCCCTCTCTCTGGCAGCAAGCCCTAGAAACCTCGGCACGTGAAAACTGGAAACACGAGTGGGGGATCAGTCGTACTTTGGGAACAAAGGAGACAGAAGCCTGCTTCTTCTCCTGAACTCTTAATTCTCAAGAAACGCAACTTGGCGGTTAAGCTGGCACAAAGGCTGGTGGCTCTGGTGCAAACGCATAACATAGCAGGGCCCAGAAGCTGCTCAGCAACCGCAGCTTCCTGGATTTAAATGTCACCTGACCAATGGTCTTCCACCCTTCGGTCAGGTGACTGAGCGTGCCTGGTCCCCCACTGCATTCTGGGGAATGTAGTTCAGCCAAGAGTCTCCATCTTTCACACTGGAAATAACCCACAAACCTCCCTTAGAATCTCCCAAACCTGTCCTGCCCCTACAGATTACTGGCCAGTTGCAAGGCAAATTAAATTTTCCCCGAGGTCAAGGTGACTAATCTTTGTGACACGATGAAGTGAACACCATAGTTAAGACAATGTCCACCTTTAATGCTTCGGGCATTTAAGGTTTTATTCAGGTGGACACAGAAGAAGATCTGGGGCCAGTTGCCGAGAGAATCACAATAACGTTCTGTTAGTTTTCCTGGTTCAAGCGTTTCTTCAAAGCAAGCGAACACAATGAGGTGAGCAGCCAGGCTACAGGGAAAAGGGTCCATATTTAAGACTTTAAACTTAAAATATATATATACACTGACATTAATTTTAATTTGAGTAAATGAAAAGGGTAACAAATGAGATACTGCCATACATGTTTGTATTATGTGCTATATTGGGCACTGAGGCGGTACCTCACAGTATGGGCACTTAATTCAATTCTTGGGGTGCTGTCTGGGTGGAGTTTGCATGTTCCCCCTAGGTTCATGTGGGTTTCCACCAGCTGCTCTGGTTTTCTCTCACAGTCCACAGACATGCTGGGAGGGGAATGGGCTTCTGGGAAAACGGACGCTGGTGTGTGTCCTGTGATGGACTGGCGTCCTGTCCAGGGCGTACCCTGCCTTGGCCCTGTTTGCTTGGCTCAGCCACACGGCTGGACTGCTTGCTCCTGACTCCCACCAACGCTGTCTCTCCTGTTCCTGGTCCTACACGCTCATCCTCATAACACTCGGCTGGGTTTTCAAATCCCCGTTGCACTGCTGAGCATCAAGTCATCCAGTGGGTATAGTCAAAAACCCATCAGGATCTGCAAAACTGTATTCAAGACTCAAAAGACTGCGTTCCGGTAACCTCTTTTTGCACACAATTCTGTCTGACCTGGTTTCTCTGCTTCAACGCGATTTTTTTTTGCGATACTGTGACAGGCGGTTCGCTGGGGTTTATCGACGCAGGTCTGGAGGGGTACCGACGTCGCCCTCGACCGGAAACGTTTCTAACCGGGGGAGGAGATAAGATGGGACTCACCTTCGGGGGGCTCTGACATGGGGGGGCTGAGACAGTACATGTGGTAGCCTCGATCACAGTCGTCGCAAAACAGCAGCTGGTCCTAAGGCAAAGAGGAGACACTTCAGGAGCTGCAGGAGGGGAGCAGAGACATTCACTGCTACTGGAAACCAGCTGCAATTAGCTCAGGTGGTTAGAACGTGGTGCTAATAGCACCAAGGTTGCGGGTTCAAATCCGTACGGGCCAGGCAAACTCCTTCTCTTTGGGCACAGCGGGGCCTCTGTGGCTGAGGATCTGCGCCTGTGGCTGGGAGGTTGCCGGTTCGGATCCCGCGGGCCGGCAGAGGAATCCTACTCTGTTGGGCCCCTGAGCAAGGCCCTTCACCCCAGCTGCTCCAGGGGTGCCATATAAATCCCCGACCCTGTGCTGTGACCCCAAGCTTCTCTCTCCCTGTCTGTGTGTCTCCTGGAGAGCAAGCTGGGGTCTGGGAAAAGACACATTCCTCATGCAAGAAATTGCATATGGCCCATATTAGGAACACCCCCATTCCAACAGGAAATCAAGCAGTGCACGACCATTCTTGATTCTTTCAGTACTAGATAAGGTTACGAGCAGGTGTCAGAGCAGATGCTCTGTATAAGAGCGCCAATTTGATATGCTACTGATGACGGGTTAAAAAAAATCCCTTTGCTTCAAGGAAACCCCCCCCCTGCAGTATCGTAGAGCCCCTCGTTGAAAGACACCGCCTGGGATACCATTTTCTCCGCTGGTTTCTTGCCGCAGATCCAATTGCGAATTCTCCGGTTTCTGCCAAGGCTATTCAAACTCTTAAGATCCCTCCGGGGAGATGAGAGAAGGGAGCTGGGAGACCCAGTTCACAGGACAAAGC